CGAGAGACAGTGGTGCTTTTTTCTCTCCCTGTATCTTGAGAAGCAGTTATCTCTTTCACGGAGTTGTGTACAGGTGTGAAAACTGTCAGTTGATTTCATTGTTTCTGAGTTCCGCTCAACAGGCATGTTTCTGAATTGGGATATTTCTGGAATTCACAATTTTTCCTTATGTTAAGGGAGCCATTTTAGTCTGACCACATAAATACAGTGGCTACAAGAGCAGGTCAGAGACTAGGAATACTGCTGTGAATAACACACCTCTTGACTCCCCAAAGCCTGTCCATCATGTACAAGGCACCAAGTCAGGAGTGTGATGGAATACTTCCCATTTGCCTGGATGAATGCAGCCCCAACAACGTTCAAGAAACCTGACACTATCCAGGACAATGCAGCCCGCTTGATTGGCACTACATCCACAAGCATCCACTCTCTCCATCGCTGAAGCTCAGTAGCAGCAGTGTGTACTATCGACAAGATGCACTGCAGAAATTCACCAAAGATCCTCAGATAACACCTTCCAAATCCTTGAGCATTACCATCTAGAAGGGCACGGGCAGCAGATATGACAACACCACCACCTTCAAGTCCCCCTCCAAGCCACTCACTACCCTGGCTTAGAAATATATCACCGTTCTTGCACTGTTGCTGGGTCAAAATTCTGGAATTCCCTCCCTAAGGACATTTTGGGTCAACCCACAGCAGGTGGACTGCAGCGGTTCAAGAAGTCAGCTCACCACCACCTTCTCAAGGCAACTAGAGATGGAAAATAAACACTGACAGGCCAGCAATGCCCACATCCCACAAAAAAATCCCTCTTTTAAAGTTGAGTTATCATAACAACTGGAAGGCTCTCAAAGGCTGACAGTGGTATACATATAGAAGTAACTGTGCAGCTGTTCTAATGTTAGGAGCCCATTAAACTTGCTGGGCAACTCTATTAGTTGAGTGGAATTGATGAAGTTGATTGGAGAACCTTGTCTTTTTGCCCATGAAATTGGTAAAAATGTATTCTCCTCCCCCCACACACCTGCGCACACAGGCACACACACTTCCCCCTGTCCTGTTAAGGTATGGGTTCAATTAGGAAATGCCAACTTGAGTCCATCAGCATCACTGGTACTAGAGCAAATTCAATAACGGGATCTTCGCAGGTCATGGCAGCATTTCATTCAGATCAAATAGTTTCATAGCAAGTGACAGCACATGGATCTCAGAATTTTTACAGCACAGAAGGAGGCCATTTGACCCATCATGTCTGTCCTAGCCCTCCAAATAAGGATCTGCTTTGTGCCATTCTCTTACCTTCTCTTGAACCTTGTGTGTGTTTATGTATGAAAATGTCTTTCTCCTGTCACTTTTATTGCTTGTTTTACTCATTACTGTGGATCTGTGCCCTCCCTTTTGTACATGTTCATTTGTTGTACATTTTCTCCCTGTTTACTGTGTTCAGACCCCTCATGATTTTGAGTGGCTCTGTCCTCATAACTGAAGTGCCTCAACTCTGGAGCCATTTTCTTAAACCTATCCTGCATTCTCATCAATGCCTTCAGATCTGTCCTAAAGTGTGACACTTGGAACTGAGTGCAATACTTCAACTGAGGCTGAAATGATAATTGTATACAAATTCAGCATCATCTCCTTGTGCTTGTAATTAGTGCTGCTTTTAATAAAGCCTAGGATACTGCATATTTTATTAACTGCTTTCTCAAACTGTCTTACCATCTTTAATAAATTATGCAAGGGTGGATTAGTAAATTCACGGACGATGCAAGGGTGGGTCGAGTTGTGGATAGTGCGGAGGGCTGTTCTAGGTTACAAAGGGCCATTGCTAGGATGCACAGCTAGGGTGAGAAGTGGCAGATGGAGTTTAACCCTGAAAAGTGTGAGGTGATCCATTTTGGAAGGACAAACTTGAAAGCAGACTACAGGGTTAACGGAAAGATTCTTGGCAGTGTGGAGGAGCAGAGGGATCTTGGGGTTCATGTCCACAGTTCCCTGAAAGCTGCCACCCTGGTGGATAGAGCTGTTAAGAAGGTGTATGGTGTGTTAGCTTTCATTAATAGAGGGATTGAGTTCAAGAGCCGTGAAGGTATGCTCCAGCTATACAAAAGCTTGGTTCAGCCACATCTGGAGTATTGTGTCCAGTTCTGGTCACCTCATTACAGGAAAGATGAGGAAGCGTTGGAAAAGGTGCAGAGGAGATTTACCAGGATGTTGCCTGGAATGGAGGGAAGGTCTTACGAGGAAAGGTTGAGAGAACTAGGTCTTTTCTCTTTAGAAAGACGAAGGATGAGAGGTGACTTGATAGAGGTGTACAAAATGATCAGAGGTATAGATAGAGTGGACAGCCAGAGTCTTTTTCCTAGGGTGGAGGTAGCTATTACGAGGGGCCATAGTTTTAAAGTGAGTGGAGGTAAATATAGGGGAGACGTCAGAGGTAGGTTCTTTCCTCAGAGTGGTCGGGGCGTGGAATGCATTGCCGGAGAGGGTAGTGGAGTCGGCCTTATTTAGGGGCATTTGAGCGGCTATTAGATAGGCATATGGATGATAGTATAAGGTAAGGGTGGAGGTTAGATAGACCTTCAGGATTTGGGTAAAAGTTCGGCATAACATCGTGGGCCAAAGGGCCTGTACTGTGCTGTACTGTTCTGTGTTCTGTGTTACATGCACTTTATAGCCAGTTACCTCTGCTGTTGCATTGAGTTTGAATTGTACCTTCATTTTGGAAACAACGTAAAATGTATCAACTCCCACTTGTCCACATTGAACTTCAAGTGCTACTTATCTGCCCACTCCATCAACGCCACAGTTGACAATGTATCCATGTTTAATATTGGCTGCAAAGTTTTCAAGTTGTGCCCTTTATACCAAGGTGTAGATCATTAGCATATATCAGGAAAAGCAAGATTTGTAATACTGACCGGTGTCAAACTCCTCTACAAATTAATTCCAGCTTGAAAAACATTTGTTGACTGGGACTCTGTTTTCTGTATTTTGTATCCATGTTGTTATGGAACAATATTAAATTAAGATAATTTTAATGGAAAAAGAAGGCTTGGAATTAATATTATGTGATCATTGATCAAAATTGGAGGCAGGTTACAGAGTCTGATTTCATATGTTCAGCCTCTTTTAAAAAGAATGTTATTCATAGGAAATTGATATTTCTGACTAATAATAATTTTGTATTAGTGTAGCATTTATTCTTGCAAGGTACTCGAAGTCTGTGTCAATGAATAAATTGTTGTGCAGATGTTGCTGTCTTATGCTTGTCACATGGCTCAGTGTCTCACTTGGCATACCTCTGCCAACCATCAGGTTGGTCTGCTTCCATTGTTCGAATCCTAGCTGCCCTATTTGTTGGTACCTATGCTGCCTCATTTGCCACTTTGCTCGAGGAATATGGTGGTGATTGAGGTGATGACTGATGCAGCAAGAGCTCAAAAGTTGGGAAATAACAAGAAGGTGGTGAGCGTGAGACAAATGAGGTAGCAAGGTGTTGGAAGTAGGGGTAATGAGCCGCATGCATCTAAAGCATTGTTCTTTGCAGGCTGTTGTATCTGTGGTGTTTCTGGTAATTAGATCACAGGCTCTGCGGCTGCATGTGTCTTGTGAGTATACCCTCTGCAGTTGTAATGCAGCAAATGAAGCAATGTTGAAATTGGCCTCTGCGTCCACCTGTATTAGGAATTGATGTCGTATTTAGTGTTTATTAGTTCATTCTGTTATTTAAAATTGTTAACTTCCAAATGCAGTATTGTGTCAGTATGTTGATACTTCTATACTAACTTTGAGATTTGATATAAAATGTGAAATTAGGAGCAGGGTGTTAAATTTGTAATATGTTCCTGTGTGGTGTTTTTTGACGGCAGTTGTCAACGAATCTCTGAATTAGTTTATTCTGGTTAAAAATCAACTGCTGAGAATGTTCTGTTATTATTGATGCATCCCACCTGTGCCAATTCAAAAAAGGGATATAAACTGAACTAACACTCAGCCATTAACCATTTATCATGGAACCTCTGAGGATATCACCTAATATGTTTTCAGAGACAAAAGAAGATCTGAGTCCTACTTTGTGCAGAATTGTCTTCACTTATTTGATTGTACACAAGCAACTCAGCGTTACCTGTGTTAATTGTTCTAGTATCCCTTTTGGAATTGCACAGAGAGAGATCTTTGGGTATTCCTCTTTTCTACCTTTACTTGGCTGTGAAATCCATTTCAAAGGGCTTTGTTAGTCCAGTATATGAAAACTTAAAATGTGATTTCTAGTACTGATCATGCACTCCAGCAGTACCAGTACCCAGTTTTTGCAGAAGATATGGACATAAATCTGGGTGTATATGTTGCAAACTGTTGAAGATGGAATGGGTTGAAAAAGTGGTTAAAAGGACATAGTTGACCTTTTTGAATTGAGGCACTGAGTACAAAAGCAAAACCTCATTCTTGTGACTCCAGCATCAGCAGTTCTTATTATCTCCAAGTGAGTAATAACCCCACTGCGAAGCCTGAAGAAGAGTCCCGACCCGAAACGTCAACTTTCCTGCTCCTCTGATGCTGCCTGGCCTGCTGTGTTCCTCCAGCTCCACACTCTGTTATCCCTTATATTTTAATATTTATTTTTTTAAAAGCAGGGAATGAAACAGTGAAATCCCAAAATACAAATGATGTGTAAGTTGAGCCACTTAATGGGTGAAATATTTTGTGCACTGCTGTTTTGAAGCATTTTTAACACAGAACGATTTCAACATTTCAAAGAAAACTACTTTTGTACTTCGATGTTGTGTATATATGCAGTGCTTTATTTATTGATGAGAATGCAACTTTGATGCTAGTGTTTATATTTGATGTTTGTCTTTGCTTGAAGATTTTTAAATGTGTTAACTAGATTATTGAGCTTCTAGTTCCGTTGGAAGTTTGTGTTTCTTTTCATGTGGGAAGCAAACAAAAATTTTCCTTTTGAATTGCTTACTCTTCCATAACCTACTTATTTCTAGCTTGAAGGTCCATGTGTCTTACAACTACAAAAGATCAGGAATATATCTGCTCCAAAAGATCATGAGGAATCTCAAGCTGCACCGAGGATGTTGCGTGTGCAATTGACAGATGGGAATGTGAATTGCATAGGAATAGAGTTTAGTCATCTGTCTAAAATCAGGTGAATTTTACCCTTCTTTTAGCAAAAAAATTGTAGTTGTCACCCATAAAGCTGATGTATATTTCAGAAGGTTTGATTATCCATTTTCATGCTGTCAACACAGTGAAGGTTTGAGTAAATAATGTTGCATATTTTCATATTTCTGATCACCACTAAATACCAATGCATAATATCATTCACTGCAGTCATCCCCTAGATTTGTCCTGAGACACTCTGAAATATTTGTTTGTAACCATCAACTGTACAATTTGACTGAAAAGCAGTGCACCTGGGTTTTGATATTATCCTTATTTCTCACTTTTTTGCTCCTGAATTTACTAGAGCGTGTTTTACTCGAGCAAACAAGCTCATTCAAATGTTCTTGATGTGAGACTTGCAAGCTGTCAAATCAGTTTTAGCATATTCAAGTCTCCTCTTAACTAGAAGCCAAACCAAGCTACTTGTCCACTGGATCACTGGATGGCAACCACCTAATTGTGATGCCTATGGCTGATTTTATACGGTATATACGTTTTTTTCCTCTTTAGCTCAAGATCCGTGAACGATTGAATATTAAGACCCCATTAGACTTTGGATTGTTACTGTTACCGGAATACTTGCTGACTGTCTTGCAAATAATTTTCACAGGAAGGCATTTCAGCTTTTTGGCATGGATTTGAGAGTGCCATGTGGAAGTAACTTGTAGCAGTTTGATTGGAACGATTATGATCAGTGGGTCAGATCGCCTTTTTCTATTCTTTCATGGGATGTTTGTGTCTCTGGCTCAGGCAGCATTTGTTGCCCTTGAGAAGCTGGTCATGAGCGGTGAGAAGTCGATATTGGCATTTTCCCCTGAAGCCTGACCTGCAATTTATTAAGATCATGGTTGGTCTGACTGTAATGTCAAATCCACATTCTGCCTACCCTGTTAACGTTTCACTTCCTTATCAAGAATCTATCCATCTCTGCCTTAAAAAATATTCGAAGACTTAGCTTCCGATGTCTTTGAGAAAGAGTTCCAAAGAACTTATGAACCTTTCAGAGGAAAAATTGCACTTCATTTCTGTTTTAAATGGGCAACGCCTTATTTTTAAATAGTAACATCTGATTATGGATTGTTCCACAGGAGTAAACATACTCTCCACATTCACCCTATCAAGCCCCCTCAGCATCTTGTTTCAATCAAGTTGTCTGTTACCATTATGAACTCCAGTGAACTACCTTGCCTCTCCAACATCTTTTCAGAAGACAACCTGCTCATTCCATTTATTAGTCTCTCAAACACATTTATATCCTTCCTTAATTAAGGAGACCAATACTGTATGCAATACATCAGATGTGGTCTCAATAGTGTCCTGTATAAATGAAGCATAACCTCGCACTTGTGTATGCAGTTCCCCTTGCAGTAAATGGTGACATTCATGTAGCCTTCCTAATTACTTATTGTGCCTCAATCCCAAGCCTTTGCAATTAATGTACAGGGGCAGTCAGATCCTTCGGAGTCTGGAAGCTCTGTAGTCTTAACATTTAGATTTAGAATTAGCTTTATTGTCATGTACTCAAGTTACCATTCAGGTCACCACTTGCGGTGCCACCTTGGGTACCAATATACAGATTCTTCATTTAGATAAAATACTTCATTTGTTCATGTCAAGGCAGACAATTTCACATTTTCCCACAGTATCCACCTTTTGCCTGCTCACACAACTACCTGTGTCACTTTGTCATCTCCTTATGTCCTCTTCACATTTGCATTCTGACCTATGCCCCATCGGCAAATTTGGCAACCATGCTATTGGTCCCTTTATCCAAGTCAATAAATTGTTATGAGGTGATGCCCCTGCATTTATGACTATGGCACACCACTTGCTACATCATGCCAACCAGAGAAAGACCAGCTGTTCCAACTGCTTACTGTAAGCTAGCCAATCTTCTAACCATGCTAATATATTAGCCCCAACACTACTTGCCTTTATTTTTCACAATAATATCTGATGTGGCACCTTATCAGCTGTCTTCTGGGAATCGAAGTAAGGTGTATCAGCTCGTTGCTCTGCATCTACAGTGCATGTCATTCATCAAAAATTTGCATTTTTTCTAAATACCCTTCTATAATAACTTTAGGAAAGCTTCCAACATCCTTTCTGTGGCAGATGTTAACCATGCCAGCTTTAGTTTCATGCTTTCTATCGTCCTCCTTTCTTGAAAAGAGGAATCATGTGCAAGCTTCCAATTGGGTATGACCATTCCAGATTTAGGAATTTTGGAAAAATAAAGCCAGTGCATCAACAATGCACTTGCCACTTTTTGAAATACCCTTGGCTCAGATCCATCAGGATCCAGGGATCTGCGAGGGGAAAACACGGAAGCATTTGATGTTGAAAAGTGGTCCTCCAACATGCATCAAATTTGAACTTTTACAATTCCTGCCACTTGTACTTGTGAATGGTAGTGGACAATTAAACAAAACCCAGAGGGAAGTGGTTCCATGAAATCTCCATCCTCAATAGTTGGGAGTCCATCAGATCAATGAGAAAAAGACACGGCTGAAGCATTTGCAGTTATTACCAGCCTGAGCTCACGGTGGATGGATCTTCTCCGTCTTCTGATGTCACATTATGATGAGTCTGTCTTTGGCCAATTCAATTCAATTTGGGTGATAGCAACAAAATTGAAGATACTGGGTAAAGTGCAGATACATGGTCCTGACAAAATTCTGACTATAGTGCTGGAGACTTTTGTTCCAGAATTAGTCATGCTCCTGGTCAAGTTGATCCAGTGCATCTACAACACTGGCATTGAATAGACAATGTGGAAGATTGCACAGCTGTATCATGCTGCCAAAAATTTAAAATTCAATCCAAACCACCCCACTAGCCTTCTCTTGACAATCAGCAAAATGATGGAAGATGTTGACGACACTGCTGCCAATGGTACTAATTTAGTAATAACCTGCTCATTTAGGGTTATGATGGAATTAAATGGTTCTTGACCTCTTTACAGCCTCGAATGAAAGAGCTGAATTCCTGAAGATAAATGAGATGGCTTGTTGTCATCGAATAATGCAATATTTGACTGTATAGCATCAAGAATCCTCGTAAATAGAAATCAAGACAACCAAGAGGCAAAGCCCTCCACAGGTTGGAGTTATATCAGGCATGAAGGAATATGGTTTTGGTTATTGGAGGTCAATCTTCTCAGCCACAGGACATCACTGCAGCATGGATTTTTTTTCTGTGCAGAGATATTACTACACACCTTTGGAGTGGGTGGGACTTGAATCCAGGCTCCCTGCTCAGCGCTAGGGACATTACCACTCACCACAAAAACCCTAGTTCCTGAGAGTAATGTTTTCAGACCAACCATCTTCAGTTTTTTATATCAACGGCCTGCCCTACATCATAAAGTCAGAAGTGAATGGACACTGCGTGACAATTGCCAGACTAGAAAGTTCCCTCCCAGTCAGGAAACACATCAAGGGCATTTAGCCTCCAATTTTCGGGTAAGCATCCTCCAAGATACACAACAACACAGAATTGTCGAGCAGAAATTGTAGATGGCCTTGACCATGATCTTAGGTTCATGTCGCGCTGCATGTAACCTCACCGTACTGTTCTTTATTTGTAAAATCTTCCTTACTGTCCTGTTTTGACACCATCACCTTGATAACTTAGGACCTCTCTACATTAATTAGTTTGTACAGTTTTGGATTACTTGTTACTTTGGTTAGACACTCGGCATGCGACTCTTAGCCCTATCATGTTATTCTAGCTGTTTGGTTTGTCTCCAGCGCCACCTTATTTTTAATTTTTTGCCATTATCTCTCTGACTCAATTAAACAGGTTATCAGTCATCCCTTCACTGACTATTCAGCTGTTGACGCTTTACTCACACCATCTGACACTTTTGATCACCTGCAAAGACTTATTATTCAGCCTGTCGACACCACCCACACCATTTGTATGATCTTTTGATCTCTCTGCCTATACGTTCTGTGCCTTTATGCTTTACTTCACCTGATGAAGGGGCAATCCTTCGAAAGCTTGTGATTTCAAATAAACCTGTTGAAACCTGTGACTTCTGACCTTGTCCATCCCAGTTCAACACTGGCACCTCCACAGCATGGCTTATAATCTATGCCATGACTGATAAAGTTAAGTGTCCTCATGCCGCCTTAACTGCCCTGTTTGCCTGTCCTGTTGCCTTAACACAACTATCTCGAGATCCCTCTGTTCGTCTGAGCTTCATGTCCTGCCATTCGTTGGATATTTGCTTGTCTTGTTAGTTCTTTCAAAGTGCATCACCTCATACTTATCAGGGTTAAATTCCACCTGTCATTGATCTGCTGATCTGATCAACCCATCTGTATCTTCCTGCAACCTAAGACCTCCTCTTTCACTATTAATCACTAGACCAAATCTTCAAATTAAAAAAACTAAAGAACTGTGAATGCTGGAAATCAGAAACAGAAACCTGTTCTGCAGAAGGTCACTGGACCTGAAATGTTAATTCTGCTTTCTCTCCTCAGTGCTGCCAGACCTGCTGAGTTTTTCCAGCAATTTCTATTTTTGTTTGAGGCCAATCTTGATGTCATCTCCAAGTGTACTTATTATCCTCCCACCCTACCTTATTTATGATAGTCACAAACAGTAAGAGACCCAGTATTGATCTGCATGGTATGCCACTGGACACCAGCCTTCAGTCACACCAATAACCTCTACCACCACCCTGGGTCTTCTGCCACTAAGTTAATTTTGGGTCTATGTTGCTGAGTTACCCAGAATCCTATGTACGTTCTTCATCAGTCTCCCATGAAGATCTTGTGAAAGGTTTTGCTGAAATCCAGAAAACTACATCAACTATAGTTTACACACTGCAGTGCAGATCATCTACACACCTGATCACTTGCTTGAAAAATTCAATCAAATTTGTTAGCCATGACTTTCCTCTGACAAAGCAATGTGCACTATCCTGGATCAAACTTTGTATCTCCTCAATTCATGTGTACTCCTGTCTACAATTGATCGTGAATGATGCAAAACAAACAGATCCCTGATCCGGGAAGAGCTTATTCTTTATTTAAGTTAAGTTTTAAAGTGTGGTGTATGCTTTGGATATCATTTGACTTCTTTTTACCTGCTGCATCTAACCCCAAAGATGTTAGCCTTTCCAAGAAGCGAATGGTGAAGAAATGAGGAAGCAAACAATCATATGATTGCTGTCATTAGTACCATTACAAAAGTCTCTCTCTCTCACGTATCTACTAGTTCTTTTAACCTACAGAAACTAAATACTATGAATACTGGAAATCTGCAACAAACCAAAAATGCTGTCTGTTCTCAACAACTTTGGAAGCATCCGTGAAAAATGAAACAACTAACATTTCATTTTAAACTTACATCATATCTGAACCCTCAAACTAATTGATCTTTGCTTTAATTGGAAGGAAGAATTTTCTGTCAGTTTTTGGCACATCTTTGATGTAAGGAAATCAGTTTTATTTTGTAACATGGTAACTATTTATTATTATAGCTAGTTAGTTATTTAAACAGTTGTTTCGAAATTCCATGAGCATTATCTTGACTTTAATTTTAGACTTCCTGCAAGGCATCCATTGCTGCTTTCTGTGGGTAGGTGATAGACCTGACTTTTTCAGGAAACACAGACATTCGAGACTTCATTTCTACCTTAATGTTCATTGTAAACCTTGTCAATTTAACAGTCTGTTTGAAGCTGTTAAAAAATAGTATGTTGGAATTTTTGCAAACTCATGTTGTACTTAACCCAAATTGAGCCAATTATTTGCAATTTTGTTTATTTCAATTGAATTTGTTTGCTTAATGAAAATTGTTTTCTCCACTTGTTTTCTGTTAGCCTCAACACCCCACCTGGCACAAAAGTAAGATTATTTGGAACTGTTAAAATAAGGAATGGATTTCTGTTGTTGAGTGATGCCAATATTTTTGTCCTTGGTGGTGAAGTGGATCAACTAATTGAGAAGTGGGAGTTGCAAAGGGTGAGGAAGCATTAATATTTTCAGCTTGAATAATACTTTGATTTGAAGAAATTTATGATTAGTTTTGCTGAAAAGCAAGATGTTCATGAAACTAGAAATTGAAAATTTTGCAAGCAATTGGATGAAATACTAAATTATTTTTTTCAGACTTTGCTGTTTTCCAAACCAATTTTCATTTTGCTTTACAAAAACTGACACCAGTGGCTTATGAAATGGTTATTCACTACATTTTGACCAAAAAAAAAACTCTGTTCTTGGTTCAGGATCTGTACAGTCCTTCTACAGACACAACAGTGAAAGCCTTGGTCCCCTTTCAGATTGATGCTGACTGTAACTTAATTGAATTTTTTAAAGAAGTAACGAAGAGGGTCGATGAGGGCAGAGTGGTGGACGTGATCTATGTGGACATCAGTAAGGCATTCGACAAGGTTCCCCATTGTAGACTGGTTAGCAAGGTTAAATTACATGGAATACAGGGAGAACTAACCATTTGGATACAGAACTGACTCGAAGGTAGAAGACACAAAAACAGACATTGCTGGAAAAGCTCAACAGGTCTGGCAACATCTGTGAAGAAAAAAAAATCAAAGTTAACGTTTCGGGTCTAGTGACCTTTCCTCAGAACTGTTAACTCTGTTCTGAGGAAAGGTCACCGGGCCCGAAACATTAACTCTGATTTTTTCTTCAATATTTCGGGCCACTTGGAATATTGCGTGCAGTTCTGGTCTCCCTGCTATAGGAAGGATGTTGTCAAACTTGAAAGAGTTCAGAAAAGATTTACAAGAACGTTGCCAAGATTGCAGGGTTTCAGCTTTCAGAAGAGGCCGAATAGGCTGGCGCTATTTTCCCTGGAGAGTTAGATGCTGAGGGGGTGACCTTTATGGAGGTTATAAAATCATGAAGGGCATGAATAGTGTGATTGGTCAAGATCTTTTACCTGGGGTGGAGGAGTCCAAAATTAGAGGGCATATGTTTGAAGGTGAGAGTGGAAAGATTTATAAGGGACCTAAAAGGCAACCTTTTCAAGCAGAGGGTGGTGCTTGTATGGAATGAGCTGCCAGAAGAAGTGGTGGAGGCTGGTACAATTACAATATTTAAAAGGCATCTGGATGAGTATATGATTAGGAAGGGGTTAGAGGGATATTGGCCAAATGCTGGTAAATAGGAATAGATTAATTTAGGATATCTGGTTGGCATGGATGAGTTGGACTGAAGGGCCTGTTTCCATGCTGTACGTCTCTCTGATTCTATTTATTGGAACAGCTGTTTTATTGCAGACAAATCTGTGGCTTAAGAAATAAGAAACTCCTATCTTGGAGCTCCAACTAACTATAAAGCTAGTGGAATCCTTGTTGGCTTCTGTGTCCCCCACATTGATCTTCTCCATCTCAATTTTGTAATGAAGCAAAGACGTTACTTCACGCTTACTATTGTTTTAATTTGTCTGCGGTTCATTATTGGCATGTATTTTTCAGAATGGCAATTTAACTAATCCTCTTCTGAATAGAGACACACAGCATAGAAACAGGCCCTTCAGCACACTGTTTGCTAACAAACACCAAATTATACCAATCCCGTTTACATGAACTTGGTCCATAACCTACCATGCCCTGGCAATTTAAGTGCCTGCCCAGATACAACTCAAATGCTACAAGAGTACCTCGACCACACTCTAAGGGATCGCTTTCCTTATTTCTACCACCCTCTGGATGAAAGAGTTTTCCTCCTATCCCCTCTAAACTATTTACTCCTCACCTTAAATGAGAATATTTAGGTCAGCTGGGGAGAATTTGCTGGAAATTGTGTCGTGTATGTGCAGTATGAACTTGTCCTTCAGAATATTTAAATGAATTAAAATTGTTCTTGTGGTTGAATATTTGAAGTATTCTATTATTTGTGCATGATTATGCTACAGATTTGTTACCACTGTTAAGATTTTAATGAGAACCTCTTTTCAAATGTATGATTTCTCATGAATTACTCAAATTTCTAATGAATCTTTTGACTTGGAGAAGAATGGTATTGACTAACTAGATAAAGTACATGCCTGTTTATGGTTTCCTGTGCTGTTTTACTATTTATTGAAGGGTTGTATAATGCTGTCTTTGAAAAGGTGTTTTTTTCCTTCCCCCCAGAGTTTGGCAAAATATAATAGAAGTAATATTGGAACTGAAGGTGGACCACCTCCTTTTGTCCCTTTTGGGCAGGTATGATAAATTAGGCCTTGCTTCTCAGCGGATTATAAATTGCGAAAGAAAAGAACTTTGCGCTTGTGTTGTACTTAACATGTCCTTTGAAGATCCCAAAGTACTATGAAACTAAGGCATTCTTTTGGTTTGTGCTCATTGTTGATTTGTAGGCATCCAGTTATCCATTGTAATGTGCTGCAGCGTTATCAATTCATATATTTTGGTGATCTGCACTGAGGAGTAAATGTTGATCCTGGTACCAGGAGAATGTGCTCTTCAAATAATGCCAAATGCTTTTGTAGTCAGGACTTCAATTTCATGCAGTTGACTGAAATCTCAGATTATTTTATGTTGTGAAGTCCTGGAGCTCAGCTTCACACTTGCCAGAAATCTGGGTTCAATTCCAGCCTTGGGTGATTGTCTTTGTGGAGTTTGCACATTCTCCCTGTGGGTTTCTGCCAGATACTCTGGTTTTCTCCCATGGTCCAAAGATGTGCAGGTTAGTTGGATTGGCCATGCTAAATTGCCCCGTAGTGTCCACAAGTGTGGAGGTTAGGTGGATTAGCTATGGTAAATGCAGGTTTACAGGGATAGGGTTGGGGTCTCGGTGCGATGCTGTTCAGAGGGTCAGGGCAGACTTGAGCCAAATGACCTCTTGCCGCATTGTAGAGATTCTGTGATTCTATCTCTGGACGAAATCTCTGTGAAATCTGCTGATAAGCTTTGTTAATGAATAATCCAAATCTTCTGATAAGAGGAGTGGGGAATGACTGAAGTGCTAGATGTGCCTTTGGGCACTGAGAGTCTCAGTGTGGGCACAGAGTCTCAGCATGCACACGTGAGCTGTACTTCTTGAGAAGCTTTAATTTTGGATTGCAGATTTTCCTCTATACCGATTACACAGTTCAATCAGATGGCTGTTTTGCAGATTTTTTCACACATGTACTTAGCCTTTCAACCTGCTATGAAAAGCTGTAAAACAAGTAAATAATCTTTAGTGTCAAAGCACAACAGTAAAACTTGCTTTGAAGACCAGTGAGCCTGATGTCTGTGGTTGGAAATTGTTGGAGTCTATAATTAGGGATGGGGTAACTGAAAACCTTGAAAATGGGAGAGCCAGCATGGGTTCATGACAGGTCATGCCTGACAAGCCTCATTGAATTTTTTGAAGAGGTGACTCAGGTAGTGAACAAGGGAATAGCTGTGGATGTTGATAGGGACTTCGAGATGGCATTTAATAAAGGCCCATGTAAGAGGCTGTAACAATGGTAGAAGCCTGTGGAATTGAGGACAAATTACTGACATGGCTGGGAAATTGGTTGCGTTGCAGGTGACAAAGTAGGGATAATGGGTGGTACTCAAATTGGCTGGATATGACCAGTAGTGTCTCGTAAGTATCTGTGTTTAGTCCTCAATTCACATTTGTTAATGACTTGGATAATGACATAGGAAGTCATGAATCTCAATTTGCTAATGACACAAAGTTAGATGGCATTGTGGACAGTATAGATGATGGCCTAAAATTACAAAGGGATGAAATGAATGAGCAAAATTGTGGCCATTGGAATTCCATGTAAGCAAGTGTGAGGTTATCCATGTTAGATTGAAAAAGGAAAGATAAGGGCATTTTCTGGATGGTATGAAGTTCTTAAAAAAAAAAAAAGGTTTAAAAATACGTTGAGACTTGGACGTTCAGGTGGATAAGTTTGTAAAATGTTATGTACAGCTGCAGAAAATAATCAAGAAAGTTATTGGGATGCTGGCCTTTATCTAGAGGACTGGAGTGCAGGGGTGCAGAAATTATGCTATAGTTAGGTAAAACCCTGGTTAGACCCTACTTGGGGTACTGTGAGCCGATCTGGGCACCATACCTCATGAAGAATATGTTGGCTTTGGAAGGAATACTGCGTAGGTTTGCAAGAATGGTACCTGGACTTCAGGGATTAAATCATGAGGACAGATTACATAAATTAGGACTGTTTCCCCTCGAATTAAGGGCGTTACAGGGTGATCTGATCAGGAGTCCTCAAGATATTAAGAGGAAAAGACAGGACAGATAAAGATGAACTATTTTCTCTGTTTGGGGATTCTAGAACATAGTCTGAGAAAGGGACATAGAGATGTACAGCATGGAAACACTCTCTTCAATCCAACTCGTCCATGCCAACCAGATATCCTAAATTAATCTCATCCCATTTGCCAGCATTTGGCCCATATCCTTATAAACGCTTCCTATTCATGTTCCCATCCAGATGCTTTTTAAATATTGTAATTGTACCAGCCTCCACCACTTGCTCTGACAGCTCGTTCCGTACACGTACCACTCTGTGTGGAAAAGAATTGCCCCATAGGTCCCTTTATAAATCTTGCCCCTTTCACCTTTAAACCTATGCTGTCTAGTTTTGGATTCCCGTAGTCTGGTGGACATGACCTTAGCAATTCACTGTGTCCATGCCTCTTATGATTTTATAAACTTCGATAATGTCACCCCTCAGCCTCCGATGCCCCAGCTTATTCAGTCTCTCCCTTTAGCTCAAACCCTCCAACCCTGGCAACATCCTTGTGAATCTTTTCTGAACCCATTCAGGTTTCACAATATCCTTCCTACAGCAGCGAGACCAGAATTGAATGCAGTATTCCCAAAGTGGCCTAACCAATGTCCTGTACAGCTGGAACATGACCTCCCAATTCCTACACTCGGTGCACTGACTAATAAAAGCAAACGTACGAAACACCTGCACTATGCTGTCTACCTGGGACTCCACTGTCAAGGAGCTTTGAACCTGTACTCCAAGGTTTCTTTATTTAGCAACACTCCCCAGACCTTACCACTAAGAGTATAAGCCCTGCCCTGATTTGTCCTACCAAAATGATCAAAGCACCTTACATTTATCTAAATTAAACTGCCATTCCTTGGCCCATCGATCCATCTGATCAAAGTCCCGTTGTACTTTGAGGTAACCTTCTTTGCTGTCCACTACACCTCCAATTTTGATGTCATCGGCAATTTTACTAACCATACCTCTGATTTTCGCATCCAAATCATTTATATGAAATCAGGCCAGAATGTTCAGGGAAGATGATAGGAAGCACTTCTCCACACAGGGTAGCAGATCTCTAGAACTCTCTTTGACAAAGGAGACTGAATGCAGCATCAATTGTTAATTTTAAATCTGAGGTAGATAATTTTTTATCCAGCAAAGGCATTAAGAGATTTGGGCCAAAGGCAAGTATGTAGAGTTATGCCACAGATCAGCCATGATCTCATTAAGTGGTGGAACAGGCTTACTCCTGTTCCTATGTTTCTATCAACTTCTTGACCATTCTTCACAATTTAGAGTAACATCTTTGAAATAGAGAGGAGCTTAATTGACTGTGGTTCTTGTTCCTCGTTGTCTGGAAATTACTGCTTGAAGTGCTTGTGTTGACTCCAGACAAGGACAGTATTGAACCTGATTCTGATAAGTGCTCTTATTTAATTGCTTGCTACTATACAACGATCCAGGATTAGCAGAAGGAATGGCCGCTTAGACAACTCTTTGGCGATTTCCTGTCTGGTGTAAGTTCTTATGGGAGAGAAATATAAAATGCAGAAGGAAGCAAAAGTTAACTATGTCCTATTTACAGTACCTTCTGTTCCTGGAAGCTAGATGATTCTTAGCTGTTTCTGTTTGTGTTGAATTGATAGTGCCTTGCGATTAATATGTTTCAGGGTGAACACAATAGTCTGCTGGACCTGTGATTTTTACCAAAAGAAAGTTCACCGTATTTTTTAAATTTATTTACCCTTACTATATAATAATTACTTCGAACAAAAGCTTGCTGAATTCCCCTTTTTCTTTTGAAGAATTTATTTTTCAGCCATCAAAATCACTGGCAGGTAATTTTTTTTTCTGCACTTTATTTGAACTCATCCATCATGTATTCATTGAAATAATTTTCTTTTGCAGAAATGCTTATCACGTGATCAAGTTGATAGCAGAGATCTTGACAAGAGGAAAACATTACAGGTTGCCAACACAAATAAAACTGTTGGAGATGATGAATTTGAAAAGCAAAGGATTGCTGCTATTGCAGAAATTAGCAAGAATAAGGAGGTACAGTATGAAGTTCCAACAAATATTTTTCACAGTTGTTTGGATGTGATATGACATATTTAGCATTTGTGGTTGAAAGTAACTGCAGATGCAAGTTCTCTCCAGATGCTGTTTGAGATTGTACCCATCTGAATTACCTATAGTCCGGCTGAGTTAGGTTTGAGTAGGTGTGTTTCGAAGGAACAGTTTTTTGTAATTGCTCCTACTGTCATGATCTTGGGAATTCCTCCAGAATGTCTTGAGTTATTGAGTTTGGATTATTGGATTTTCTTCTGTTGCATCCTTTTGCAGCAAATGTTTTGGCTCATTTCACTCAACCAACTCCATAACAATCTTCATTTTGACTTAACCCACAAATACATTTGATGTTTTCTAGCATCTTAAAGCATTACTGTCAGATTTCCAGTCTGATGTGTAAGGATCATTTTGACTTGTTTCCAGCATGGATGTTCCTGTTTACCTGTATCATTTCATCCAAAATCTTCCTCATGCATTAGTTGTTTTCTCAACTTTGTCTATTTTTGGTTTTACTTTCGCTAAAGCAAATGTTTTGAAGGCAAAGCTTTCATGGAAATCTGCTTTATTTACATGAACACTTGGGAGTTAGATGCCCAGTCATAAACATAATGGCACTTAATCACCAAACATCAGCTACTGAGAGATAGTGAGATAACACAGAGGGCTATTATTTGAGACAACATTTCACTTCTGCCGCACAGTCCAGCAAATTATGCCATCTTCACTTGAGAGCCGTCAAAATTAAAAAAGATTTTCTCTGCCAACTGCTAGATCACAGCCAACAACTGACTTATACCCAGTCAGTCACAGAGAAGAATCATCCTTGACGTGTGGGATAGCCTTTTAATTTGGGTATTTGGTCCACCTAGGTTTCTTAGCATGTTTCAACGGAGTAGCATTTGTAATCTTGTGATCAGTCTCTTTCTGAAAGTTGATGCATTTTGGAGCCCACCAACATTTGAAACTCAATTTGTTCAGGATAGATTACGTGTATGGAACTCAGCAATTCTGTCAACTTTATTGTTGATGAATGTTGCTTCTGTAGCTAAAATTTGTTCTATTTGCAGAAATGAGTTTGAGCCTGCATTTCTTCATCTGTGGTTGTGAAGAAATGCGTGCACTTCACTGCTTTATTGGTTAAAATCTGCAGTGCTAGTGGGATTATTAAAATCTTTTCAGATCCCTACATTTAAATGAATAAGGTCACAAGTAATAGATTTTGATAATTTGAATATTTTCTCTTAAAACCAAGGCAAAGATATTTGGTGGAGGAAGCAATGTCCGGAGCAATTTGAATTCGAGTGGTACAGGCATCAAGAACAGGGATCCTTTCCAGAAAAATAGAGAGGAAAAGTATACAAAGGCAGACGGGAAATATGAAGGAGTATATCGAGAATTGGTAAGTGTTTAGGTTTTATGTAAAATAATGCATTTTTTTGTCCTTGTATTGATTGTGAATATAATAATGCAATGACAGTTCCTGTTAAATTGGAATTCTGAACCATTTGGGTATACTTAGAAATTCAGTGATCAGTACTCGTAGGGTAATTACCTAATAGTAGAATTACATAATTGTAACCTGCTCAACAGCTTAGAAAATGAAGTTGGTCGTGGTTTTAAATTATTTAAAATTTATACAGTGAAGGCCCTGCACTTAACTGTAGACATGCGCGCATTGAAGTGAAATAATTGGATTCATGTTTCAAGTTGCTGTCCAGAGGGTTATGTAAATGTGCGTGCGTAGCTTGAATGGATGGGGTAAGCTGGCTCGTGATGTTGCTACACTTCAGAAAATGAATTTTGTTTGTAATGTCAAATCTATAACTCCTAATTTTGAAAAAAATCCACATTTTTGTTTCTATTTTCTATAGACTCAATACCAAAACTTAATTTTATTGCAACAAGTTTTGTTTTAACTGGCACCGTTAATAAACCGGCAAAAATTATATATCTTGTATCACAATGTCAGAGTAATTATGCTTTGAATAAATTATAACAGTGAAGTGTATATCCCCTGAATTATGTTTCTATTACTTACTCTGTATTTACATTGATTTTATGGGGTGTGTTATGTTTTTACCTAGATTTTTTGAGGGACGTTAATGTCTTGAAGCTTTGTTTGGTCACTGTTTACTGTGGTTATGTGGACCTCTTGATTATCTGGAATGCTCGATCATCCGGCGCACTCCTGGTCCCATAGGAGCTGGTTAATAAAACATTTGCTGTAATACAATGCTTCCGAAGGGTGTGTCCCAATCATTTTGATCTCTGTAAACATTAACTAAGAATGAAGAGTACCAAGTGCAATTTACTTGCTAGTTGCTATCTGAGGATTCTTCATCAGTGGCTGGATTATATCACTCTCGCTGTGTTCCTGGTAATCCTTTTGATTTGGGGCCACATTGAATCTTCACAAAAAATGTAATTCGCAATGCAGATGGTTGTTATTTGTGAAAGTCCTAATTAGCAAGTGGTTTGGATTTAATCAATATTAAATCAACTGCAGAAAGAAATATATGAAGGGGAAGTGGCTCTAATTCATCATATTTTTAAATGTCCATTGTCACTGTTTGTAGTTTTTTCTTCTGTCCCAAAACAGACATTAGTCTCAGAAATAATAACAGAAATTGCTGGAGAAACTAAGCTAGTCATAGAATCATACAGCACGGAAGCAGAACCTTTGGTCCAACTCGTCCATGCCAACCAGATTTCCCAAACTAAACTAGTCCCATTTACCTGGTTTGGCCCATATCCCTCTAAACCTTTCCTATTCATGTACCTGTCCATATGTCTTTTAAATCCAGTCGCAAAGATGGAAATTTTGCGCATTTTCTGCAGATGGTACTTTTTCTCTAGAGCAATACATCTTTGAAATTTTCTTAACAATGACTCTGTTTATAAAGCATTTAAAACCTAGGTTTGACCAAGAAACTCTTTATATATCCAACATCAGTGTTCCGTCAGTGCTTGATTATACCTTGCCAAAAAGTACTGATGTGTGAGCTTAAAATAGTTATCTGTTAGTATATGCCAATGTAATTTAGATGACAAAAAACTCGTGAAAGTTCTTTAGAAAATAAAAATGAAAACCTGAATCTTTTGACCTCACTGCTATTCTGAAATCATAATTTTCATTTGTCAATGTAAACTAGCCATAATCAACTAGTCCTTTGAAATATATTTGCCTAGATTTATCAATCATACAATGCGGATGGTAACCCATTTAAAATTGATGGTTTACTAAACTGGTGCTGTGGCTCAGTGGTTAGCAAGACGCCAGTTACCCGGGTTCAATTCCACCCTCAGCCTGCTGCATGTGGAATTTGGACTTTTTCCCCTGTGGTTACATGGATTTCTTCAGGTGCTCCAGTTTCCTCCCACAGTCCATCAAAGATGTGCAAGTTAGGTGGATGCTAAATTGTCTCTTAGTGTCCATGGATGTGCAGGCTGGTTAGATTAGCCACTGGAAATACAGAGGCATAGAGATGTGGTGGGGGAAGAGGTGGGCTTGAGTAGGATGCTCTTCGGGAGGTCAGTGTGAACTCAGCAGGCCGAATGACCTGCTCCCACACTGTGGGGATTCTGTGAATCTATGAAATGTTACAATTGTACCTGCCTCTACCACTTCCTCTGACATTCCATATGCACACTACCCCCCCATGTGAAAAAGTTGCCTTTCAGTTCCCTTTTAAATCTTACCCCTTAAACTGCCCTCTAGTTTTGAACTCCCCTATCCTAGGGAAAAGGCCTTTTCATATTCACCTTATCTATGCCTCTCATGATTTTATAAACCTCTATAAGGTCACCCCTCAATCTTCGATGCTCCAGGGAAAATAGCTCCAGCCTATTCAGCCTCTCCCTATAGCTCAAACCCTCCAGTCTGGTAACATTCTTGTAAATCTTTTCTGTATCCTTGCCAGTTTAACAACATGCTTCCTATACAGGGTGACCAGAACTGTATTCATTACTCCAAAAGTGGCCTCACCAATGTCTGACAGTATTTGGGAGGAGAAAACAGAGTTAATGATTTGAGTCCGATGAATCTTCGTCAGAATGGCAATTTCTGTTTTTATTTCAGATCTCCAGGTTTTTGTAGTTGTTTGTTTTATTTAGATATTAAGCTCATTAGCCTATTACTTGCTGTTTTCTTCATCCCACCTTTTTTGGTAGTGGGTTATGTTTTCTATCTTGCAACTCATGGTGACCGTTTGCCACGTCTTAAAACCATAGGATTTAGACTGGCAAGGGATTTGTCAACTCTTAGCCCTAGTTTTTTGAGAAAATTAATTTGATATTCTTAAATTCCCACTACACCCAGCAAGTGTTTTGTGCTTTTCTCTCTGAGCAGAGATACAATAATTTGCTAACTGCCCCTGTCTTTCCATGTTCTTTGCAATTTTTCACGCTCTGCCTTCAAGGAATTGGAGTTAGTGGTGGTGCAGATGTGGAATCAGTTATTTCAATGAGTCAAATATGGTATTAAGATTGTATGTTTTCTTGTTCAGTCTCTGATTGTCAAGGAAAAGGATGAAGTTGATGGCTAGAAAGTGAGGTTTATGACAGAGTAATGAGTTGATCTTCCCAGTCTTAAAATAGAAGATGTTTCTGCTCATCCAGTACACTCTTGTGGTGAAGCAGTTTGATGCTTTAGGTCATGGGGCTGTCGAGAGAAGAGATGTGGAGCTATGTGGTTAGTACACATGATTTTCTGTTTTTGGATTTCTTTACCTACCAGTAGCAAAAGAATGGATCAAAGCTAGAAACTTCAGCTACACGGGTCATATTGGAAAATTAAACTATTGCAGGTAATTCTCTGGTCGTCATCAGCTGTGTACAGATAGGCCCAGGTGAGTCCGGTTTGACCCAGCTAGACAGCAGTGAGAATCGGGTGTTGGTGTTTCCAGGTTTCTAATTTGTTCTTCTGAGTGCTAGACGTCACAAATTTGGAAGTTGTTGAAGGACCTTGGTGAGTAATTGATTGTAGTGCATCTTGTCAAGTAGGTTATACACTGCTGTCACTGTGCATTGATGGTGAAGGTAGTGAATGTTGAAGGTGGTAGTTAGGGTGCCAGGCAAGCTTTCTGCTTTGTTCTAGGCAGTGTTAAGCTACTTGAATATTGTTACAGCTACAGAGAAAGTGCAGAGAAAGATAACTCATAACTCATAATCTATGAGGAGTCTGTTCGTAAGTCTGATAACAGTGGGGAAGAAGCGGTTCTTAAATTTGTTGTTACATGTTTTCAAACGTTTGTATCTTGTACCTGCTGGAAAAGAATATAACCGGTTTGGGAGGTGTCTTTGATTATATTGGCCTCTTTCCTAAGGCAGCGGGAAGTGTAGACAGTCAATGGAGGGAAGGTTGGTTTTCATGACGGGCTGGGCATTATTCACAATTCTCTAATTTCTTGTGGTATTGGACAGAGCAATTGTCAGACCAAACTGTGATGCATCCAGTAGGATGTTTTCTATGGTGCATCTATTCAAATTGCTAAGAGGCATTGTGGACATGCTGAATTTCCTTATCCTTCTGAAGAAGTAGTGGCGTTGGTGTGTTTTCCTGACTCTGGCATCAATGTGGACAGACCAGATAGATTTGTAGTGTGAATGTTAGTTACCACTGGTCAGCCCAAGCCCACATGTTGTTCAGGCCTTACTGTATATGAACATGGACTGATTCAATTTCTGAAGAGTTGCAAACGATACTGAACATTGTACAATTATCAACGAAGATCCCCATTTCAGGCATGGTAGAGGGAAGATAGAGATGAAACAGCTGAAGATGATTGGGCCTAGGTATCATGACAACAAATGACAGTTTTCTTGTAATTACTGTTGAGTCCAGTTTTGCTTGAGCTGCTTAATCTCTCACTCAGTCAAATGCTGACTTGATTTTGCGGGCAGCCGTTCTTATCTCTGGAGGTAAGTTCTTCTATCCGTGTTCAGTCTAAGTCTGTAATGAGATCAGGAACTCAGTGGTACTGTTACAACTCAAACTGTGTCAGTAGAAATGTTATTCTTTAGCAAGTGTTGCTTGATAGCTGTGACAAAAGTATGGCTTTAAGAGGTATATTTAATCCTTTTTTTTTAAATAAAGGGAGATTGAGACAGGTGCAGAGTATTCTGCTTCAAGCCAATAAACAGCTTTTGAGGCCTTGGGGTTTTATTTTTAAAAGTTGAAACAATAGTAGCAGCCTGAATGAGTGGCTTCAGGCTCCCACAGAACCAGGATTTTTAGTTTTCGCCTTCAGAAGCAGTTGCTGAGGTCTTGAAGCTGGATGTTGAAACTGTTGTTCCTCTCTTTGTTACAGCTAAAAGCTGGGGTTCTCTTGCTGCTGGAATTGCATGTGAGACAATCTGTTTCACTGTCTGTGGCTTATGGGATGTTACTATATTGGAACGGTTAATGAGTAGTTTATTAAGTATTTTGATAGTTACAGTTAAGCCAATTCTTTTCTTTTTTATTTTGTTTGTATATTAACTATAGTGTACGAATAAAGTGTGTTTTGCTTCAAGCATGGTAGTTTAACCATTCGAATTGTATCTGGAATGCAATGTCTGACACTTGCCTTTAAAATTAAAAAAAAAATTAGGGTCTGGGCTATCTCCTTGACCTATTTTGAGGGGTTTTGGTCTGGTCCATAATGCAGTGCTGTCAACAATCGCTTTCCTCCTCTCAGCTTGATCAGGAGCAGTCTGTTAGGACGTAATTCGCTGCATTGGATTTGTCCAGCTTTTTGTGGACATGATAGAAAATTGTCTCAGACTACACCACTGAATAGATACCTGTCTTGCAGCTGTACTGGAACAGCTTGGCTAAGGGCAAGTCCAGTTCTGGAGTTCAAGGCTTCACTGCCTTTGCAGGAATGTTGTCAGTGCCCAAAGACTTTGCAGTATCCAGGGCCTTGTGGCATTTCTTGATCTAACATGGCATGAATCAAACTGGCACTTTTGATGCTGAGGACATCAAAAGGGAGAGGAGGAGGCCACTCTGTAAACTCCTGGGTATGGCAGCTGTGACACACTGCTATCCTATTTTCACCGGCTTCATTCATTTAATTAATACAATTTTACGTATTTAATCAGCAACTTTTTGGTAAAAATGATAATTTTAACTCAGTTATTTTCTAAGTAGATGAACTTGAATGTTAGCTTGTGACTTGCCTTAGAAGCTCACTTTATCTTGTAGCATCAGTTTGCAACATTTTTCTCCGGTTCCTCCATGTTGCTGTTACATATCTTCAGAGATATACAAGGAAATGAAGTGTGTGCAGCGTTGCTTGTGCTAGGCTTACGGAAATAATAACTAAATGACATGCGCAGAAATTTGCAAGTAAGTGATATGGTACACGTCTGCAGCTTGATCCCAGGTGTTTACTTCCTCTCGCAATTTTGCAAATCATGAAGCAATTCAGGCTCAAACTCCGTAAGTTCAAGGTTGCAAAGTGAAAAGTAACACGTATTCCACAAAAGTGTGGGACACGTTCCATTTTTAATAAGAGAGGGCCTTACCACTTAAGTTGTCATTCTTGTGGCATAACTCTCATTAAATCTCAAAGATCAACAGCCCTTGGATCAAGATGGCAGCAGAGTAACAGGACTGTTTAGGGTCTTGAGGGAAACTCTGCTGCTGTGAGCTTTCTTTTCTCTTTTTTTTCTTTTTATTCTTTTGTTTCTTCGTTCATTTTTCTTTTGCTTAGTCTTTTGCGGTGCGTTAATTGGCATTGGCACAGCAGCGAGAGTGGGCTGTGCGTGGATAGGCGGTGGCATCCCAACGGTTGGAGGTGGGTGTGGCACCTCGTGGTGATTGGAAGCAGCAGCAGGGACGTTCTCCGTGTTTGGGGCCAGCAGTGGCAGCAAAGCTCCTCCAGTGATCAGAGGAGGTGGCAGCAGCAACAGACTTTTCAGGATGGCAGTGTTGGTAATGAGACAGCTCAGAGGTGGGTTGTCAAAGCGGGACTGTTGGCAGCAGGGACTCCTGTTTGCAGTAGGCCCAGAGCGGGGACTCCTGGCATTGGCGAAACAGTGGTAGCAGCATGGTATGCCTGGAGTGTAGACTTCTGGCATCATCTCGGTAGCAGCGGAGCGAGGGACTCCTGATTGTGGTCGCAGCAGGCCCAGAGAGGGGACTCCTGATTATCGGCAACGAGGTGGTAGCAGCTCGTGATTGCGGTAGGCATGGAGCTGGAGACTTCTGGTTGTGAGGGATGAGTGTGGGTTTGGCGCAGGACCTGGCATTGGCGGCAAAGAGTTGGCGATTCCTACACTGGCAGGGCAGTGGAGGAGGGATGGAAGCGCGTGTATCATTGGTAAACTGGCTCAAGACTTTTTTTATTCTTCCACGGAGATGAGGGCATCACTGGCTAGGCTAGCGTTTATTGCCCATCCCTAATTGCCCTGAGGGCAGTTCAGAGTCAACCACAATGCTGTGGCTCTAAAGTCACACGTAGGCCAGACCAGGTAAGGACAGCGGTTTCCTTTCCTAAAGGACGTTGGTGAACCAGATGGGATTTTTCGACAATTAACAATGGTTTCATGATCAGAAGTAGACTCTTAATTCCAGATTTTTATTGAATTCACGTTCCACCATCTACTGTGGCTGGATTCAAACCCGGCTCCCCAGAACATTATGTGGGTCTCTGGATTAATAGTGCCGTGATAATACCACTCAGCCATCCTCTCCCATTGCTGAAAATAAACACACTCAGCTATATCTTTTCATTCTTTCTATTCTTAAACTATTCAAAATGGCGCTGGATTGTGGCGACAGTTGACACTTTTCACTTTTATTTTATTATTCACTGTAAAATACAAGTGTCAAAAATAACCATTCAATTCGATTCAATACACTTCACCAGTGATCAGAGACTATTGGAGACTGTTTGGAGTTGGAGCAGTTCAGAGGCCAGGTAACTTATACTAGATGGTTGACTTTCTGACTCCCCCAAATCGACACACCATTGGTAAGGTACGAGCCAGCAATGTAATATTTACAAAAAGCTGAACTAGTTTTCTGCTTGTTGAGTGCTGATAATTATTTGTCTCTTTGATGAATTAAATTTGGTTGTTGTTTTATCCGAAATCAGGCTCTGATATACAGTGCTTTATCACTTACTGAATATGGAAGTAGAAAAGGATTCCTGTATCTGATGCTGAGCGACACTCACGTATTCTTCATTAACCCAGCCATGTTACTGAGCCTGTAGCTCTATGTCATGGCTGTGAAGATGCTGTAAGGTGGAGGGAATTGGCACTTGCTTGCAACAGTGATTTTTGAATGTGGCACTCAAAACATTCCATAGTGCTGTGGTGAGCAAAGGCTTAAAAACGTAACAAATTATTTCATATTTTTGGTCCCTGTACATTTGAAAATTTGTTTGAAATTGGTCAAAATTCATTTCATAGAGTCCTTTTACACATAGGATTGTGGTGCTGCCAGTGCCACAAGGGCAGATGTGAAAGAACTCTTTCATAGACGTCCTTTTGAAGAAAATGTCAGTTTATATTTCTTTCAAAAATTGAATTATGGTGGTTTGAAGAATCCCTCCAGGCGAGAGAGTCATATCGCAAGGATTGAAATCTATTTAAGATGAGTAATTGATAATACAGCTGCAATGTAACAAAATGTGGTCCAGCAGTTAGTTCTATGTTGAGCATTAATGACCAAAAGTATATTTTATGTGAAAGCAAAATACTCCAGATGTTGGACATTTGAAGTAAAAACAGAAAATTGTGATTCTGTGAAAATGCTGGAGAAACTCAGCAGAACGTTACAACAGTGCAGCATCTGTGGGGGGAGAAAAAAAGAGAATCCTTTTGAGTCTAATGTGATTCTTCAGAATTTTAAAGTAATCTTTTCTATTGTAGGTTGATGAGCGAGCTTTACAGAACATAACTGAAATGGGCTTCAGCAAAGAAGAAGCAAGACAGGCCCTAATGGATCATAGCAATAATTTAGAAAATGCTTTAAACTTTCTTATCAACAGCAACAAAGCACCACCAGCAATGCATAATCCACCTGTAAGAGGTAAAATCTGTACTGTTGTGTATGTGTATACATATATATGTAAAAATAGTTGAAATGTACTTTGAGGTGACTGCATCCTCATCAGTGGTATCAGTATCCCTTTCTAAAATGTTTGTTTCTTTTCTACTTCAAAAATGACGTGTCATCATCAAACCTGGTTCTAGCTCTAAAGATATCCATCAGATATCAATGCTGACACCACACCATTGTCTCTTCTTCAGTTTTTCCTTCTACTAGTCTTAATTAAATCAGAATTTCATCAGCTATAATTTATTTTAACAAAGAAATATTAGCATGAATATTGAAAAGAAATATACAAAACAGGGATCTTATTCTTTATTAATTCGTTACTGTTAATATAAATGGAATTTCTTATATTTATCCTACTTATGTACAAGTTCTATGTTTCTGAATTTAATGCAATGCTTTAGTTTTCAGAAAGATAAGAAACTTTCCACGTTTAATTAAAATATTCAGAGGAAACAAAAGATAATCGGAGCTGATGTTGGCAAGATAGTGATGGTTTGGTGGATGGGTGGAGGGAGGTGATGGGGGATTCTAAAATGCTGAAACATTGACCCTTTGGGAGTGTTTGGATTTAATGTTGTAAGAGGAAAAAAACCTCATTCATGAGGTGCCTGTATTATTCATGGGTTGAGTTTTTTCACGGGTGCAAAACAAAAATCCAGGAATGGTGAGCTGAGACTTCTCAGGCAGACGTCAAACGAATAGATTTTTAAAATGAAGAAATACAGTTTTTAAACTTGGATAGGTTTGAAATGGACCTTCAAAATCAGGGCAACTGGTGCCTTGTACATTTCTGTGTGAGTGACTACAGTTGTTGCATTTTATACAGCTTTTTTTTGTCTCTGAACTTTTTAAAAATTCTTCAATGGGATGTGGGCATTGGTTTGCCCCATCCCTCATTTCCCCTGAGCCAGGTGGTTTTCTGGTACATTTCAGAGGAGCAGTTACGAGTCAACCACTTTTTTTCAATTGAAGATTTTGTTGTCCCCAACAGATTAGCCTAGACCTCTGGGTTACCAGTCCATTGATAAAAGTGAACAATCATGTCTCCTACAAACTTCCTACGAGTCCTTGGAAATAATTATGATTTATAACCTAATTGTGTACATTTTGGTCCTCGCTAGATATTACATTTATAATTTCCCTTTAGAAGTTCAACTGAAAACCAAGTGGACGTTGTCCTGATGAATCTCTTCATTCATTTAGAGCAATGGTTAGTTCAACAGCGTATGTGGGCAGAACAGCTATAGAAGAAATTTATTCTTGAGGGGTATCATCTTATACACAGCTCTTCAGAATACTGATAACCAAGGTGGAATGTGTAAGAGTTGGAGATCCTATGCATTCAATGTATCAATTCACCTGAGGCACAGTGTTTGTTTACATGGATGAGAATTAATTTTTATAGCTGAAGAATCAGTTTATAAACTGTGACAAGTTTTGGTTAATCTTGGGAAGACCTCTGATCAAGCCATATCTTTTTTGCCACTGAATCTTAAAGGAACCCTTCTGATACTACATAGAAGAGCAATGAGAGATTTGTCACACACTGTTTCCCTTTTGTAAACTTTGAGATGACTACCTAATTGAATTTCTAAGTGCCCTGTAGCCATAAAGACCGATGCATTGGTTTTGTGTCTCTGCCATTTCATTATTATTATTCTTCTTGACGTAGCTCATCTTCAGAGAAAATGAGAAGAACAAACAGCTCCCATTCCTAGATGTCATGTTAGAGCGCAGACCAAATGGGGAATTCCTAACAAAGGTACACTGGAAAGCCCCACACACTGACCAAGTACTGAATTTCGACAGTAACCACCCTAATACACACAAACGTAGTTGCGTGAGAACATTATTTAAACTGGCAACAACACACTGCAGCAGCACAGAGCTACGCCAAGAAGAAGAGTACCTCTTCCAGGTATTCAAAGACAATGAATACTCGAAAAACTGGGTGAGAAGATGTCTATTACACCGAATCCAGGAAAACACGACACGCCCCAACACGTTCATCACGCTACCTTACAGCATTAACACACCTGAACTGACCACCAGACTCCTACGACCACTGGGCATCAGAGGAGCACACAAACCCACATCATCCCTACGACAACTGCTCACCTGAACCAAAGACCCACTACCCACTATGGACAAGACCAGTGTCATATACAAGATACCCTGCAGAGACTGGGACAAACACTACATCAGACAAACAGGAAGGAAATTAACAACAAGGGTACACGAACATCAGTTGGCTACAAAAAGACATGACCAATACACACTCATTTCCATCCACATGGATAAGGAGAACCACCAATTCGTCTGGGACAACACCGGGATCCTGGGACAGGCGAAGCAGAGACAAGCATGGGAATTCCTAGAAGCCTGATACTCCCCTAAGAAAGCCATCAATAAACCCACAGGGCTAGACCCCATATACATTCCATTGCGAAAGAAAACTGAAAGTGAGGTAATCCAGCTCAATGGACACCAGAGTTTAAATAACACGTGGGAAATCACAACGGTGCTTCGTCGGAGGCTGCACTGATGATGTTACCCAGCAGGGTAATGAAACGTGCGGAACAACAAACCAGCTCGGCGAGCCAACCAACCACAATATCCACAACCCGAGCTACAAATCTACTCTAAAATTTCCGTATTATCCTTGTTACAAGTACTGTGAACTTCCTGTGTTATGCTTCGCCCAACATCACGATTATTCTTTTTATCATAGAATCCCTACAGTGTGGAAGCAGACCATTTGGCCCATCAAGTCCACACTGACCTTCCAAAGAGCATCTGACCCCCTCACCCTATCCCTGCAACCCTGCATTTACCATGGCTAATCCACCGAACCTGCATTTCTTGCAAATCCAATATGTGCAAATTAGGTGGATTGGTCATACTAAATTGCTCCATTGTGTCCAGGGATGTGCAGACTAGGAATATTAGCCATGGGGAATGCAGGGTTACAGGGATAGTGTGGGATGCTGTTCGGGGGGAAGGAGGATGTGGACTTGATGGGCGAAGTGGTATGCTTCCATACTGTAAGGAATCTATGATTCTTTGGACCGTGGGGCCAAACTGGAGCACCAGGAGGAAATCCATGCAGATATGGGGACAACGTACCAACTTGACACAGATGGTCGCCCGAGGCTGGAATTCAACCTGGTTCCCTGGCGCCGAGGCAATAGTGCTAATTATTGAGCTGCTGTGGTGCCCCTTTTGGGTTGGGGGGGGTGTCCTGTGAGTTAATCCGTGATTGTTTTCTACTCTGTATACCTTATCCCCACTGAAATCGATCCTGATTTTTTTCCCCAGGTTAAGACACTCTGCTTCCCGTCTTTCTTGCATCCTGTATCTTCAGGGCTACCCATCATCTTTTTCAATTTTGTCTTGTTTTTGAAGTGACGTATCCTGAGCTATTCCAACCTTTGTCACTACACAAGCATGTCTCTCCAATGTTGATTATGTCAAATCCATTAATTTTAACTGTGTTAATAAGTAACCTGTTTTATCATGAATGCTTTGTGCAGATAGAGCTTAACTTTTTTTATCACAGGATATTATCCCTCATCAACTTTGCTAAATTCTCTGTCCCTTTCTTGCATGTTCTGCATAATTTGTACTCAAATTGCCCTTCCTGAAGAGTGTGACATTTTTTACAGGTTTTTTGACTCCTGCTTCTTGTTTTTTCTTTGCCCTCTCCCACACCCCAAATTGGTGCAAAACTCTTATTTCCTACCTGAGATGTTTCAACACTTAGATTCTCCAAATGTGGATCCTTCTTTCCTTTTTCTCTCTCACTGTCTCATCCTTATGCCTGTATCATTCTTTCTTATCAGGGTTGCATCTGCCCCACTACACAGCTCCAAGTACACTGAAGTATTTAATTCCCATACTTGATTGCTTTTCAACCATATGTCCAAATAACTATACAATTTCAAAGTATTCAAGAGTTGGAGAATGTTGGGTCTGCTAGCTCGGGAACCAACGTAGGCCAGTGAACATCAATGAAGGGTGGTTGGGGATTTGAGAGAGAGAGAGGATATAAGCAGATAAACTCTCAGTTAGCTCAATCTATGAAAAATGCACTGGAGACTTACAGTTGAACATTTGAATATTTAAAGATAACAGTGGTGTGGATTAGGGATTGCTATTAGACTTAGGAGACTGAATAGTACACAGGGTGTTTTCATTTAGCTGCTGCCATTGTTAAAAGATCTTAGCTGTTTTTTGCGTTCCTAATAAATTATTGTTTTAAATGCCCGACTTGTATACAATTAATTAATGTGTTGAACTTTAATGCTTAATGTTCACTTAGAATGTGTTTCTTCTTAACCGAGATACTTTGTTCTATTGGACATTTGTTTAGGAAAAGGAAGAGGTAGAGGCAGATCAAGACTTGAAGATGATGACAATTTAACAAATGCAAGGCCATCTGCACCAAGCACATTGTTTGACTTCTTAGAATCAAAAATGAGTTCCTTAAGTGTTGAAGGTAGGTGCTTTTAATTTATGAGGAAGAGCAAGAAAAATGTTTGACTTGTCTATGTGAAAACTTTTTACAGGTAATAACCATTACGTTAAATACAAGATCAAGATTTTTGTTACTAATGTACGGCATATGGATGTCGCTGGACAGGTCAGCCTTTATTGTTCCATCTGTAGATTTTCTTGAAATTCTCATCAACACACGGGTTTAAACTTTACCAGAAGCTGAACTGAACTAACTGTATAAATAGGGTGAATGCAAGAGCAGGTCTGAATCTGGGAATTGTGGTAAGTAACTGCACGCTGACTTCTCAAAGATGGATGGGCATAGCTCCAATAAGAGCTGAAGTTCAAGATAATCCAGAACAAAACAGTCTGTTTCAGTGGCACCCCATCGATGATCATAAATATTTACCCCTTTCCACCACTGAACATACAAGTAGCGGCAGTGTGTTTCAAATATGAAATATACTGCAGCAACTTTGAATCTCCTCAAAATCCATCAATCACCTAGACAAAAGCGGAAAGGTTAATTAGCCTACTCCTCTTATATTCTAGTTTCTATATAACCGTACAATTACTGATTGAATTCAGAACTTGTAGGTGTAGAAGATGCCAGTCAAAAATTAAATAGGAATTGAAATATCTCAATTGCAGGGAAGTCACTGATAAGAGTGCAAACACCTTGACCAGCAGATATTTGATTTTATAACATGGTTGTTGAAATTTGCCGGCAGGACCCTTCCTGTTATTGATTGATCACCTGATCAGCACATCTTGGACATTGATTACTAGAGCTTTTAGTGCCAAATGACTGTGTTTGGCACTTTGTTCATAAAGAACAAACTAAGAATGGTACAACACAGGAACAGGCCCATCAACTGACCAAGCCTGCGCTGACATTTGGATAAATACACAAATAGGAAAGGTTTGGAGGGATATAGGACAGGAGCAGACAGGTGGGACTAGTTTAGTTTGGGATTATGTTCAGCATGGACTGGTTGGACCGAAGGGTCTGCTGTATGACTCTGACACAATGCCTTTCTAAACCACAAATCTTTTGCCTGTATACAGTCCGTATTCCTCTCTTCCCTGCCTATTCGTGTGCCTAATATTTGTATAGCACAAATGTTACTTGCCACCTGTCAGCCGAAGACTGGATATTGTCTAGATCTTGTTGCATTTGAACATGAACTGCTTCAGTATCTGAGGAGTCATGAATGATGCTGAACATTATGCAATCATTGGTGAATATCCCCACTTCTGACATTATGATAGAGAGGAGGTCATTGATGAAGCTGCTGAAGCTGGTTGGGCCTAACTCCTGCAGCAATGTCCTGGATCTGATATGACCGACTTCAAGAAGCCTCTTAAACATTGCTATTATATTTGCTTTTACCATCTCCTGTTACCCATTCATGGGATGAGGGCATCGCTGGCTCGGTGGCATTTATTGCCCATTCCTAATTACCCAGAGGGCAGTTAAGAGCCAACCACATTGCTGGAGTCACATGTAGGCCAGACCAGGTAAGGTTGGCAGTTTCCTTCCCTGAAGGACATTAGTGAACCAGGTGGGTTTTTCCAACAATCGACCAATGGATTTACGGTTATCATTAGATTCTTAATTCCAGATATTTATTGAATTCAAATTCCACCATCTGCCATGGCGGGATTCAAACCCAGGTTGCCAGGATATTAGATAACAAGGTGCAGAGGTGGATGAACACAGCAGGCCGAGGAGCAGGAAGGCTGACGTTTCGGGCCTAGACCCTTCTGAAGCCTTCCTGCTCCTCTGATGCTGCTCGGCCTGCTGTGTTCATCCAGCTCTGCACCTTGTTATATCAGATTCTCCAGCATCTGCAGTTCCTGCTATCTCTTGCCAGGATAGTATCTGGGTCTCTGGATTAACAGCCCAGTGATAATACCACTAGGTCATTGCCTCCCCTAAGTCAGCATATTCCAGGCACTTTACCACCCTCTGTGTAAAACAAATTGCGTTTTACATCCTTAAACTTCCCACTTTACCTTAAACCGATGTCTCCTAGTAACTGACGTTTTTACCCTGGGCAGGGGAAAGAACTTCAACTAACCAATCTATCCATGCCAAGCTACCCTCAGGCTGTGACGTTCAAGTGAAAACAAACCAAGCTTTTCCAATCTCTCCTCATAGTTCGTACTCTCCAAACTAGGCAATATCCTGCTAAACCTTTTCCGTACTCTTCTAAAGCCGCTTTGCCATACAGCGACCAGAACTGTACGCAGTATTTGAAATGTGACCTAACTGAAGTTCAGTACAGCTGCAATATGACTTGCCAATTTTTATACTCTCTGCCCTGATTGTTGAAGACAAGAATGCCATATGCATCCTGGACTACCTGAAGAGAAAAAGACTGGTGAAGACAAATGTAGGTCCCTTACAGTTAGAGTCAGGTGAATTCATAATGGACAACAGAGATGGCAGACCAGTTGACCAAATATTTTGGATCTGTCTTCACCAAGGAAGACACAAATAACCTTCTGGAAATGCTAGGGGACACAGTCAAGAATGAGGAGGAACTGAATGAAGTCCTTATTAGTCAAGAAATTATATTTGGAAAATTGGTGGGATTAAAACATGAGTCCCCAGGGTCTGATGCTTTGCATTCCAGAGTACTTAAAGAAGTGGCCCTAGAAATAGTATTGGAAATCATTTTCCAGCATTCTATAGGCTCTGGATGGGTTCCAATAGAGAACCTCACTTTTTTTAAAAAATGGAAGGAGGGAGATGACCGGGATTTATTGGCCAGTTAGTTGGAGATTGGTGGTGGAGAAAAAGCTGAAGTCAGTTATTAAGGATGTAATAGCTGAGCATTTGGAAAGCAGTGACAGAATCGGTCCAAGTCAGTATGGATTCGCTAAAGGGAAATCATGCTTGACAAATCTTCTAGAATTTTTGGGGGAAATGACCAGTTGAGTGGACAGAGATGAATCAATGGATGTTGCGTATGTGGGTTTTGAAAAAGCTTTTGACAAGGTTCCCCGCAATCCAAGATAGCAGGGACTGCAGCAATCAGCTCCTGAGTGTGGGGCTCAGCTGTGCTTGGGCTCATGCAGTGGATCTGGCCACACCCATGTGGCTTCTGCGTTGTCATTCCAGCTCAGTAACTTACTGTTTTAGTTTTGGTTGCCCTGGGGACAACCTCCTGATGTGCTGCTGTGGGAGGCTGAGGCCCCATGTCTCTCCATCCCCGCTTCATCTCTGGCGGCAGCATTAGAAAATGAACCAGGACTCCATCGGTTGACTTGGAGCCAGGACATGTCAGTTGATATCCAGCCTCGGGTGCAGGACCCACACAGCATGACTGTCTCCAGCTTGGATACGGCAGAAAAGGAGCATGTTTCCAGGACCCCAAGGACGATATCGGACAGTGGTGGCTGGAGGAGTGGAGAGAACTGACTGGCAGAGAGGAAACAGAGAACTGGAATAAACGGGTCCTTTTCAGAGTGGCAGGCAGTGATGACGGGTTTCACAGAGTTCAGTGCTGGGACCCCAGTTGTTCACAATATACATTAACGATTTGGACGAAGGAATTGAATGCAGTATCTAGTCCAAATATGTAGATGACACTAAGCTGAGTGGCAGTGAGGAGGATGCTAAGAGGCTACAGGCTGACTTGAACAGGCTGGCTGAGTGGGCAAGTACTTGGCAAATGCAATATAATGTGGATAAATGTGAGATAATGCACTTTGGTAAAAACAGGAAGGTAGATTATTATCTGAATGGTGGCAGCTTAGGAAAAGGTGAGGTGCAACAAGAACAGGGTGTCATAGTGGAACAGTTGTGGAAGGTTGGCATGCAGGCAGTGAGGAAAGCTAATGGCATGCTGGCCTTCATAGTGCGAGGATTTAATTACAGGAGTAGGGATATCTTGCTGCAGTTATACAAGGCCTTGGTAAGGTCACACCTTGAGTATTGTGTGCAGTTTTGGTCTCCTAGTCTGAGGAAGGATATTCTTGCTATTGAGGGAGTCCAGACTAATTCCCAGGGTGGCAGGACTGATGTATGAAGAAAGACTGGACCAACTGGGCTTGTACTCACTGGAATTTGAAAGAATAAAAGGGTATCTCATAGAAACATATAAAACCCTGAAGGGACTGGACAGGTTAGATGAAAGAAAAATGTTCCCAATATTGGGTAAGTCCAGAACTAGGGGTCACAGTCTAAGAATAAGAGATAAGCCATTCAAGACAGATGAGGAAGAATTCTTCACTCAGAGTTGTGAACCTGTGGAATTTTCTAACTCAGAAAGCTGTGAGGTGTTATGGCCAGTTCATTAGATATATTCAAGAGGGAGCTGGATGTGGCCCTTGCGGTTAAAGGGATCAAGGGATATGGAGAGAAAGCGGAGTGTGGGTTACTGAAATTGCATGATCAGCCATGATCGTATTGAATGGTGGTGCAGGCTTGAAGGACCAAATGGCCTGCTCCTGCACCTATTTTCTGTGTTTCTGTGTTTATCCACTTGCGTTGCCCTTTAAGGGAACTGTGGACCTGTGCACCTAGATCCCTCTGTAGTTAACACTTCCAGCTGTTCTGCTGTTTACCGTATACTTGTCTCCTGTAGTGTGGATGTTCTGAACACTCCAGTGATTTAAATTTACTTGACATTAATTCAATGCAGGGTTTGCCATAGCTGTGCATGCCTTTGATATAATTGCATTGGGCCTGTGATAAACCCGTTAGTGCTTAATTTTATGCAAGCATTTTGGAAGGTGAGCCCAGCCTGCTGTTTGACTCCCCATTCCTTATTGAAATTAACAAGTATCTTATAATGTTGATGTACACCAGGTTTAGGATTGTTTTGTCCAAAGATGTGCAGATTACGTACATTCGCCATGGTAAATTGCCCATAGCGCCCAGGGATGTGTAGGTTGGGTGGATTGGCAATGGGAACTGTGGACTTGCAGGATATGTTAGTGGGTTGGGTTTGGGTGGGATGCTTTTCGGAGGGTCAGTGTGGACTCAGT